AAGAGAAGCATCCATAAAAAGGTGACAATATGGACAAGGAGGAGGAAGAGGAAACCCCCAAAGTAATATTGATGTCATCTAACCAACAGTCAAACTTGGACTGGAAGTGAGGGAAAAGGTTAAGAGAAGCATCTAAGGGAACCCAAACAAGGCATCATTGGTCGATCAAAACCCACTGAATACAGTGCATGTGGGCCCGACCAAGAGGAGTGAGGGCTTCAAGAGAAGCCCATATCCCCAAAAAAGATAGAACCTCCTGTGCACCACAAACGAGATGTTCCATAAATCTCAACTGAAGAGAAAGCTGGTTCCAACAGAGAATTGAGGTGAGAAATGCACCAAGAAGAGTCAGAAATTGAATAAGTGTGAGGAATGTCTTCCCCACCTTGATAGGCCAACCCAGCCAGGCATCTTTCCGAAGAAAAAACTGAGTATGTAAGTCAGAGTTGGCCTGTGAGGAAGCTAGAAGTAGCCATTCATCCATGTAATGGTGTAAATGAAGGCCCCGAGAATGAAGCAGTCGAGCAAAGGTCCAAACCACTCAGCAAAACACATAGGGATCTGAAGCAAGTCCAAACAGAAAAGCCAGAAACTGAAACATACCCCCACAATAAACAAAATGAAGAAAATCTTTGGATGCTGGGGAAATGGGAATATGCATCCGACACATCGAACTACTTCATCTACAAACGAGAAGTGAAAACCCAATGAAGAGTTATGTACGACTGCATGGTGAACTTGAGAATGATGAGGAATCAGTTCAGAGACAATAAATTGAAACTAGGCACCAATCTCCCATCTTCTTGGGAATGACAAAAAAGATGAGAATAAATCCCTAACCAGAAGGATCTCTTCAATGGCACCCTTGAGAAGCAAGTCCCGAGCCGCCTCTGATTAATGCTGGCAAGAAACTGGATTCCACTGAAGAGGGAAAGGAAATCGGATTGTGAGGCAATGAGGGGACGACAGCAAATGGAAAGGGAGTTATGACGATGGGCTAATTCAACTCTGGACTTCAAAAAATTGGGAAAAACCCTACACACCTCTTGATGTAAAAAAAAGGTATCATGCCCAATTCACGCAATGAAAAGGAGAGTAAATGAACCCTAGATAAAACAGCATACTGACCTGCAAGAGCCAAACAGCATTGCATCCATGTGTGTCAAACAAGGGCAAAAGAGGAAAGGCATGCCATGGGAGCAAAAAAGAGACTACTATGATCAACAGAAAACCCTTAATAAGACAGATGGTCTCAACCAAAAAAGTGAAGGGAGGATAATACATAGATAATAGTGGATATTGTAAGAAGTATACGGGAAAATGGAGGTAGGAATAATTAACCAAAGTTTCAGGGTCTGAACCCCACATAGGAAGAAGAATTCCAAAGGTATGAGTCTAATTATGTGTAGATAGAACTATAAAAGCAAAAACATGATAGGCCAATGCACGTGGGGGAAAAGGCATACTGATCCCTCGAATGTAATTGTTCCCCAAAATGACTACCAAGAACCTCAATATCTGGGTATGGAGTAAAACTAAATAATGAACCAAAGAGTAAACCCCTAGGATGGCATAGGTATAATCTTAAAGGAAGACAGGAGACAAAGACATACCTGATTAATCAAGTCTACAAGGGAGAAGGAGGCCTGAGTAAGACCCCGAAATGATACACGACAGATAAACTTATTCAGGAGTGGGAAAAAAGGCCGCCCAAAGTCACACTGACTCGTTCAGACACGCCTAGGCACTGGTACGACAGGACATTCATCAGGTTATTCAGAATGTTGCCTGAAATTATACAATTCTTTACAGATCATAGCCATCACATCAGTGGCCGATAATTGTGGTACCAACACCATAGACGTGGTCAGTAAATCTACTGTACCAGTAACAGCAGTGGTAGTTGTGACCACCAGAAACTGTGAGGGCATAACTCGCAAAGTCAAAAACTTCAACAAAAAATAGAAAAGGGAGAGTAGATAATGAAAATAAATCCCAACTCTCCATAAAAAATGGAAGTTGCAAGGCTAGTGGTGAGTGAAACATTTGTGCCAAAAGAGGGCAGTACTAGTCGAGAAAGCTTTTTGTGAGAGAAGGTAAAATATCTTATCGGACATGCTACTTCAGCCCACTAGATAGATTGAGCAATTAATCAAATAACCCACAAAACTTTTACTGTTAAATAATAAAGAAGTAAAACCACTTCTTGTAGCTACTTTTACTGATGGTCGTAAATATCATCCTAACTGCTGGTAAGGCAGTTAACCTCTGTCATAAGAGTAAGGAAGCCAAAGTCAGCTAATCATCAGATTAGTCAACTTGCTCCTCTACTAGTGTTTCACTATTTGATTCCTCACACACTGCCAGATAAGTAGGGCATATTTTCACCACATCTACCATTTTACTGTTGAAATTTGTTATTGATAAATCTGGTTCTCTACATTATCTGACAGAGATTTCTCCAGTATGGCTGGGTATTTTCATCCCTCAACTTTTTTCCATGGCTACAGCTAGACAAAGTGCTTCTGTGCATTCACAACAGTTATTATGCACAGTCTCCTATGGAACCCTAAGCTACATCAGAAGTCAGATAACATGTCTTCATGACTCAAAATAATGGTACAAGACACAATCCTGCACTCCTAACTGATCACTCAAGACTCAGATATTATACATATCAGTACTGTGTTCACCAACCTGAGATGGTTGTGATTCACCATGCTTCATGGCCGGTAGCATCATTTCATATCTTGATGTTTCAGTTGCTCTTCCTGAAGCTCCTGATTAGTCATATTGGTGTCCTTTCATCACTCTTCTAATTCTTTGTCACTGCTGCATGATGTCCAGGACCTGGTGATTCATTGAACAAATATGCTATCATCAGTTGGGGAGATAATCTGTTGGCATTTCTATGCTCCTGGCCTGGCCAGTGTTATCAATTAAAGATGTATTCTTGCAACATTGTAATACAATGTGCAATAAGCATTCCAGAGTTTTGAAGTCCATTAGTCATCTTTGCCATCTTATGCTCATGTATACATGAGATAATCTATGATCATCAAGATTCTACATTAAACATAGACTCCCCTCGTCACTTCTTGGTGCTAAGGATGATTGAGAATGTTAAGAGAACTCTCGTTATTAATGATAACAGTCCTTGGGCAAGAAGAGGGCTTCTCCAAGTCCATAATGCATTCTCAGAATATGTCCTTACCTTAACTGCAGCTTTCTCCTCTCCATATACATTTTTTGTGGCTTTAAGAAAAAATCTTCCATTATAATGAGTTACAAACTTATATCACTTAGAGTCAAATGGATCAAAGATGCACACCTTAAATAAACTCTGCAAGAAACAAATAATTGACCAAGGAAGCAGAATTTCAGATATAAAAGACTGTTTAGTGTAGGTAGTATTAATTATTTTGTGAGTTAATATTTCATGATTGTTTAGTGTGTGTGTTTTTTATAATAAGAAAGTTAAAAGCAGACAATTGTTGTAAGTTGTGTTTATAAGTTATTGATATCAAGGCTAGGGAGATTTCTAGAATGCTTCAGTGAAAGATATAAATAGTGGTGACCAGAGAGTGGAAAGAGAGCCAAAAGTAAAGCCAAGCAAAAGGGTGTTTCAGTCAGAGAAAAGTTAACTGTCATAGCAGTGAATAACCTAACAGTTGGAATATTAAAGTAAGATTAACAGTTTTATGACATTTTAGGAGAATTATTTGCCTCATCAAAAGATGTTCAAAAGCGATTGAACCTGCCTGTGTGGACTTTTACAAAAAGCAGATGATTATTTGAAAGTAGGCCTAAATATAAAAAAAGCAGACAGGCATCAAACGTTCAGGATACAACTGTTGTAACTCATGAGGCAGCGTAAGTGAATTATACACCGATACTGTTGTGATAAAAGAAAAAAAAAAGAGAGAGAGAATAAAAGGAGTAAGTGAATTATACACTTTTAAGAGAAAAATAGTTTGGCTCGTCAACTGAATTCTAAAGCAATTGAATTGGCCAAAGTGGACTTTTGACAATTAGATAAGAACTGCATAGTATTTAAAATACAACTATGATATACAAAGAAAGAAATACAGAATGATATACAGTGTAAAGAAAGTTTGTACATACATTTAACTTGTTTTGAATATATTATTTTAAAACAAACAGAGTGTGTGCTATTCAGTTATTGCCAACAAGTCACAGACAACTACTTCAGAAGAATCCTTAGCTCAACACATACCTATATATATATTTCACTATTACCCAAAAAGTAAGTTTCCTAACACAGAACTAATAACTTAACAGTAAAAATGATTTATAATGGAACATATGCTGAAAGGTTTCTTTGTTGGAGATAACGTTTCAAAAAGTGTATTGAAATTTCATCTCCAACTGAAAATTTTTCTAGTAGGACATCAATTTTAAATCTATTTTTCCAAATAACCTGTTTTAGTAAAAATAAGGTGTTGATTACATCAAAAAATATTTTTATAAATATTAAACTGTTACTGTTTACTGATCAAGTTTATACTGAACAATGTGTGTTGATCAATCCTGTAAATGCATTTATTCCTAGGAGAACAATGCTGAACAAATTTTCTTAAGACTTTGCTACAAAATGGATTAATAAACAATGTGTTCAAACGATTCTTAAGAATTTGAGAAGAAAATGGATTAAAACTGCTTTAGTTAACTAATTTACAACAGTGAAGAAACTGATTACATCACTGAGAGTCTTTACATGTTCACACTTATTAAGTTTCAATAGTATCAAATACATTCCAGCTACTAGATTAGCTAGCAGCTTTGTTAGCAAACAGGAGTAATTTGGATTCTGATTAACTGACTTTAGAGAACAAGTAACCATGTCCACAGTAAGTTGAGAATCCTTAGAAATATCTTGAGATAAGTACTGATAGGTTTATAAGTAAATAATAAAAAACAATATTTATATGTAAGCAAATTGTGTAACAATTAATTTACAATGTGTGTTCTTGGCTTACCTGGCTCTCTGAGAAGTCTGGCAGATGGACAGTTCCCACAGATATTAAAGTTGAAGTACATGTCAGAAATATAATCCATGAGAATGTGAGGTACGTGAGGACTAGAATAAAAGTTGATTTTTGCTGCAATCACAACTCTAGCTGCTAGGAACTGTAAACGTTCGGGTTTGTGCTGGGTTTCTATTGAGCCACTCCCACTAACAAACATTATTCTCTCATTCACATCTGTATGATACCACATAAAAGTAGCCTTGAAATAGTTATGGTTACCATGGCGATGGACTGTATGTAGAGAAGGCATGTAACAGAGAAATCCTGGTAGAGCATCCAAAAGGTTGTTGTCAAGAAGAAGCACAGATAGTTTCTGACAAAATGTTAGAGTATATGGAATAGAAAAGTTTTGAAGTCGATTGTTAGTTAGAGCCAAATACTCCAAGTTTTTCATATGACCAATGTCTGGTGGTACAGTTTCTAAAAGGTTGTACTTTAGTGAAAGTAGTTTCACATTTGGACATCTGAACAACTGAAAAAAAAGATAAAGAATGAGAAACTGATAATTAATATGATCCTTTTCTAATACAAAAGTTTAAGAAATCTTAAATTTGATGTACAAAGGAACATATAAAAATATCGTGTACAATTTACTTATTTTTCATTATCACTTACTGTATTATTTACATTTTTGTAGTTTGTTACATGAACTTTAATCCAATTCTTCCTAACACACTACGTCAGTGACTGAACCAGTGTTGCATTCTCCACATATTTAAATTCATTAAAAACATAATTATCTCCTATTTCACAATAGAAACTAACTATCATAAGCATATATAAATATATATATATATTTGTATAGTAAAGGCTTGGTTTGTTTAGAATTTCGCACAGCTGAAAGGGTGAGCATGTTTGGTGGGACAGGGATTCGAACTTACAGATTGCGAGTCTAATGCTCTAACCACCAGGTCATGTCAGGCCGTATAGCAAAGGCAATCAATAAGAATTAGTGAAGAGTATTTTGGACACAAACATTATGGGACTTTTAATAGCACCTGATGACCACAGAGACTCCTTTGCTAGGAATGTATTTTAGTAGAATGTACTTAAACATGTTGAAAATTTACTTGGGTCATCAGTCTATATTAACTTTTGTACTTCTACTAATTTCAAGTGTTTATACATTTTCTACAACTATGCAATGAAATGGGTCATCTTTCACTCTTCATCTGATAACTTGCCAAAGTATACACTAAATTTGCTTTAGTATACAAAAACTTACACAGATGGCAAGTTTATATATTCAATAGCATTATATTCCTATTGAACAATGAACCCTTCACATCCAGACCTAGTTCTTTTGCACATGTCACAACCTTTTAGTATTCAAAACTTAATCAAACAACTTTATTATCAATGTATGTCAATAAATTTGGCATGAAAACATAGTTTATAATTCAAATTTTTATACAAGTTTTAACTTGTTAATTTCAAAAGAAAATATTTACAAAATTATCAATCTTCATTTTTCTAAATCATGTGATGCACCTGCACTCTTAAGTTCTCTTATTTCAGGATTTTGGAACTTCAATAATAGACTTATACAATACTTATATAATCAATTAAGTACATAAACTATACATATTTACAAGCAAGAATCTTAAAGTTAAGCCTCCAATCTTTTTGTTTTGCAGAGATATCAATAAATTTGTCACACCCACCAGAGAAGTTCCTCTCCTCTCTCTTTCACTTTTGAGATTTTTATGTTAATCAACTTTACATGGTTGATGGACATGTTTATAACCTATAGGAAGAGCAGATTCTCCTATATACAAGACTTATTACAGCCATTTGATTTTGGTGCTCATAGAATAGTATTCTGTCTTACTCTCATTGTGTGCAAACATCATATTCCTGCTTTTAACATCTAAAGACATTTTTTTAAACTACTTATAGCTTACTTAGAATTCCAGACAAATTCTAGAAGTTTTGGGACATTCTATTCTAGTGACTAATATAAGATTTGTACTGCAAGATGTATAATTGAAAGCTACACAAATTCTTTTCTGGACACCCAAATTTGTGAGACTCAATGAGGCTTATGGAAGAACATCTACTCAAGTGCATATGAGCTGTAGGAAGCATTAAGTATTACATATCTTTGTTTTATGTATTATTATTATTATTTTTATAATATATATATATAACGTCAAGAGGTTCAATGTATCTCCAATGTGTGTAACATTAAATTTCACAATTAAGCTGTTTACATTACCTCTACAGGGTACAGCTAATGGACTCCTGCTACGATTTATTGCTTTTCATGAGACAATTACTTCCCTTGGTACAAACAACAGTAATAAGACTATAAACTGAAAAGAGGGAGATGTGAAAAGGTTAGCAAAGCAGTTGAAATGATAACATGGAACTTTTTCAGTTTCTGATCAATACTGCAGTCAGTACAAAAGAAAAAAAAATGCCATTATTCATTGTATGTCATATTATTCAACTTTTCACTGTATATTGATTGTATATTTTGCCACAGTTAGCATTAGAGTACAGAAAATAGGAGATAAAATAGAAAATTGTATCAAAATGACATACAAATTGGTTTTGTTTTGAATTTTGCTACACAAGGACTATTTGCACTAGCCATTCCTAACTTAGCAGTGATAGCCTAAAGAGAAGGCAGCTAGTCAACATTACCCACCACCAACTCTTGGGTCAATCTTTTACCAACAAATAGTGGGATTGACTGTCACATTATAATGCTCCCACAGCTGGAAGGGGTGAGCATGTTTAGTGACAGGAATTCAAACCTGCAGCCCACAGGTTGCAAGTCAAGAACCCTAACCACCAAACTAATGAAATATGAAAACTGTAAAAAGGGAATTAGGGATAAATCATAATTTTAATATACTGAATAATTTCATTGAACAGTCATATCTAAACAGCATGAAATAACTTTAATGAACATTCACATCTCAACAGAGCAAAGAAATATAGGGAAAACACAAGCTTTGATCATAAATGAAATATAACTGTATTGAATATTACATATTAATGGAGAAATAAATTGCTGGTTTTCTTACAAATATAAAATTATTTAACCAGATATTATTATACAAAAGTTAATAAGGTACATAACAAATGCTACTTTTGATAGGATGTTTACAATTGGGCTACTTTCAGTTGATATTACCCAGGATAAAAAAACTGAGGTTTCTTCATCTTATGATCTGGAGAAATACCAAACACCAGCCATATATGGATATTGTGGCACTTAGATACAGCTTGTGATATCAAAGTCTGAACATGGAATCTAGCCATTAGAAATGTGTAAGATGAGCAGTCTCGACTTACTTGTGGTGCAAGATACATCACTAAATTCAAATCACCTCTGTCTTGATTCCTCACCAATGCCATAACTAACAATTTAACTCACAGCTAAGCATGTTGAGTGCGTGTGTATTTTCTTATAGCAAAGTTTCATCAGGCCAACGAGGGAATCAAACTCCTGATTTTAGCATTGCAACTCCGAAGACTTATCACCGTTCCACTGGGGGACAAGCATGTTGAGATCAGAACCAAAACCATTTGATAAAGATCAGTATAAAAATTGATGTAATGAGTGCAAGAGCAGCAACTGCCAGCAAGAGTCAGTCCAGCAGAGTTATTCAGCCTACACATCTACCAGTAAAGTTTAGCCCTGAAAATCCATGCCTTCCCCATCATAATATCAAATCTCTCTTTCTTTGCAAGTTATTTAATTATAATTTTCTGGAAAACTACAACTGCAAGTTGTAAACTGTTGAATGTTTTATCTTGAGGTGATAACTGTTGAAGAACTTTGATCTTTTTATTAAATACATGGTTATAATATCCAAAAGTCTCAGTCTCAAATCTTTATCTCACATAAAACTTCCTCAACTTTGGTAATCTGCGTGATAATGCCACTGACTGTAAAGTCCTGGTATTAAATTAATACTGTTTGTATTGTCTCCTAGCTGATAGTACCCCTTTACAATTGTAAGATGAAAAGAAGTATTTTTATTCTTAGCATGAAAACCACCTTTCACTTATACTGACCCAGTAAAGGCTTTGTAAATTTACAGACAAATCTTCAGTATAAATACTTTATTAAAACATCAGATTTTCTTTGAACGGTAGACCTGTAATGACTTATTTTGGCCATCGGAATACATTTAAATATCTTCAGATAGATCAAGTAAAAGGCAGATTACAGTTTAACAAAATTTATTTCAAATTCTTAATAATTTTACATTGAGTCAAATTACATATGATAAGCCACTTTATTTTGTCAGTCATATAACATATGAAATGTTAACATATATATCAATTACATTACTGCTGATGTTTAAGTTCTGTCAGCTTACTGTCAATTACAGCATCAAGTTTTCCTGCCTCAATTAGCTTTTCTTTGGCAGACCTTCTATGACTAATTACCCTTTGCTACTAATGGTCTCAACTGCTTCACATTTTGTTTTATTTCTGCCTTCTCAGCAAAACTATCTGCTGACTTTGTTAGAGCATCTGCATCAGTTTCAAGCCTCCTTTTTGTATTTTTTAACTCCTCATTTTCATCCATTACACGTTTCCTTTTTTCCCCTTGTTTTAACTTTTCTTTTTGAACCTTCTGTTCATCTAAATGCATCGTGTACTTCTGTCTAGCTTCTGACACTGGCACAGTCATGTTTTTACATATATTAACTTTAAGAGGACCTCCAACTGATGCCAGGTGATCAAGTACAACTCTCTTTGAAACAAAAGTCCTATCTTTCATATTTAGTTGGCACACCTCTTTGTTCACAGAAAAACTTCTCTCTACTGAGGCTTGGCCATGAGATAGGACTAACAACCCTTTCACTATGTACCACACCACAACTTATCAAAGCCTTATCTACCAGACAGAAGATCAAAATACAAGATGTCAATTCTGTTTGTTTCAATTTTATGATCAAAGGCAACGAACATCAACTCACATTCAGGAACATCATCATCAATAAAGTTTACATATAGAAGCTTAATGGCATCACACTTCAGTTCATTTACTTTCTGTGCCTCAACTCACAATTTTAAAATACCATCAGATTTCCGAATCCAAGATGCTATATTCTTTACAATTTCTCTTGGATCCAAACATGAAAAAAAGCCTCACTAATCACTACTTTGCTGGAGACTTTTCTTGAAGTTTCTTAACTATACATATGATCACATTCTTCATATCAAGTCTCAAACCAAGAATACTTTTATCAGTCACACTTTTAGCACCAGATGACTGAAATGACTTTATCAATCTTTCATCTACAAAGCCAGTATCAATTTTGTGTCTCATCTTCAAGTTATTTGCATTGTCTAAATCTAACTTCATGACACTGTGTGAACCATGGTTTCCTAAAACCTCACATTTGCCAACTTTACGCAAAAGACTTTAACTGACTGAACATATCATTGAAATAGCATCATTGGCCTATCTGTCTCATAAGTGGCAAGAAAATGTGTTATAAGTTGTGCAATAGATATAAACGCATTGATCTTTACCTTAACAGAGGATCATTTATCATTTGAGATACTGTTTCATAGGATGCATTTGATATAGATGTTGACATTTGTTTGTTCAATGAAGTTTCCACTATTAATTTTGCCTATTTCAGGCATGATAAGTTTATCACAGTTTCAGATGTAATGTTGTTGCCAGTTGGTTGTTTAGCTTTGGGTTTAAGTTATGAATCAGGAACATTCCTTTTTCCTTATCATCCATTTGTCTTTTGCTGAGTATTATTTTGAACTGTTCAATGTTAGGTTTCTTGCTACAGTCTTTGCTCAGATAGTTGTAAATTCCAGAGTTGTTGGAAGGGCAGTTTTGTGCATGCTCCTTAATTCCGGTAACTAGGGTTTGAGTCTATGACTCAATAGGAAGAATCACTGCTTATATATTTTTCTTTATGTTTGAAAGACACTGCAAAATTCTCTGAGCTACAGGAACTTTTTCAAGCCATCTGCACTTACAAAACCTGGGTGGAAAGATATTGGAGCCTGAACTGATGTAAAGTCGAGCTGGAGTGTCATTGAATAACCAGTAATAGCTCTGGAAGAATTTGTACAAGTGCTAGGATGATTCTGACTTCCCTGTCTTGAATGCACCATGAAGAATGTGTAGCCCACAGCTGCCCAAATGTAGGAAAGCAGTTCCATCAGTGTCCATACAGTGGTTCTGCACTGATCAAGGAAATCTAAAATGGTAAATAAATGAATCATTAAGTTGTAAATGATGGAAGTATATGAATTACTTAATTGCATAGTGATTAAAAAATTACCAACCTGCAAAAGCTTGTGTCTACTCAGATTATTGGTGCCTTCCATAAAGCTATGCAGTAGATGATCAGCAGTAACATGTTCCATAAACTGTGATAACCTTACTTGTGTTTACCTCCCACAGGAAAACTACAAATGTTAAAAATCCTATCAGTATTCACCCTTCAGCAAAATATTCGGAATTTTTTTTATTAAAAAAAAACAACTTTTTACAGTTTAATTGTTTAATGAAAATACAGAAATGATCTTGAAAGATTGTATTGTCACCCACCAAGGGCCAAAATGTACCTTCATATTTAAATATTAAACTTTTAATGAATTCACATATTACATAAAGATAATAAAATTTGCTATCATCAGTATCATGCTGAGAACAATTAAATATTAAATTAATTATCTTGAATGTCCATTTGTTTGGTCTCAGTCATCTTGTTAAGGTTTTCATCAAACAACAGTACATGCTAATCTTCTTCATTCACTTGTTTTCTCAATGGGGTTGAAAAGTAAGAAGCCAATACAAAACAGCAAAAAAAAAATGCTGTTTTCTCTTGCCACATGAAAACGTTTTGTTTATGTTACTATCTGGAAACATGGCCTGAAATATTTCTGTGACTCCATCTGAGCAGTAAGACCAGTGGTTCTAAACAGCATTTAATGTCCACAATATTTTAGCTTTTAACTTGTATGAACTTGATACAAAACTGCCAATGTCAGCCTGTGCATGGATTTTTCTGGTATTGCAGCTGTAATATCCATTGATACTGACTGTTTGTAATTGAAATTCTGTTATTTTCAATGTTGCTTCTTTTTCCTTTGCCTGGTTGATGTGCTTATTGACTTTCATATGACTTTTAACAGTTGCTTCTCCTATGTTAGAAATGTCAAATGATCACTGGCAGTATGGACATTTTGCTTTGCTGTTGTTACCTTTGTCATATGTAATCCATGCTTTGTAAGCTGAGTGTCCCACCCAGCTTTCTTTGAAACTGCATTTTCCAAACATCTGTTCTTTGTAATACTTCAGCTGTAACATCACTCTTTATATTTTGAAATGAGAGTGTGATTGACAAACAATATGGCTACCTAAACTGAACCTGAACTAAACTCATTAACTGCGGCAGAAGCAGTTCAATTGCTGTTTTCTGACTCACAGATGAAACCGAGTTGCCATCATCAACAATAAAACTGTAATTATCGTCATTTGCATAGTTATAATTATATATTTGTGCAACTGACAGATATTTCCATCATTCGCAGCTAAGCCATAGAACTTCAAAGACGGAATTGTATCCATCATCCACAGTTAATTGGTTAACAAGTAGGTCAGGTCATCACAGACAGCCAATCATGTTTAAACATATTCACACCATAGGCAGATCATGAGGTGCGAGGCTGATATCACAAAACTAATATTTAATAAAGGAATCATTTTGTTTTTAGTCATATTTAGCATTGTAGGATACTTTTTACTGACTACACAAAAATTCCATCACTTTTATGCTAAAAACCCATTTTTTTCTAGAATTTCCAGGCCTGAAAAAATGATTTTAAAACTCTATGACTTTTTCAGGATTTTAATGACCATACGGACCATGGTTTGGTCAAACCTGAACAAGCCAATAAACACAGAGTTAAAACACAAACACAAAGGGGGAAAAATTTTTAAACTGATAATATGGTTTCTTTGTAAATTTTTATATACTTACTTCTTGTGGTAAATACCCATTTTCTCCATGCTTGAATATGCTGTCTAAATGAAGTTCAACAAAATCTACACTGTTTAAATACCTGCCCAGCAAAGATTCTGCAAAAAAAAACAAAAAACTAATCAGCACTTATTTACATGAAATACCCTGAATGAATCCAAAAAGCAGTCTTACAAAATATATTTACATTAAGTAATGCTACAATACACTGAAGTAATTTACTATGCTAAAATATATGAAAATTCAGATACATCTTAACATAATTTTAAAATGTTTACAACAAGCAAGATATTTCTTGTAAGGGGTCACATTTTTTCCTTGTTATAAAACACAAACTGATCTACTATCAACAAATATTTAAGTCGTATGGCATGAAGTACAAAACAAACAAGTCTGATTCAAAAGCAATAAAAAAGTATGTAAACTTCTGACATTACGCACAGATTAAAATAGTTGCATTAATTTATACTGAGCTTGAACAATGACTCACAATAAAAATATACAAATATCCCAGGGAAGCAGAATTAACCCAGCATTCTTACCTTAGCACAAGAGAAATGACCCAACATAACAATGCAACTCTTAAGGAATTCTTCCTGTACCATATAACAATTTTCTATTCAGCCATTGCAGAGAAAGTATCTTCAGTAAAAGTAGATAAAACTGAAGGTATCAAACATTAATAGAGAGTTATTGTAATCCCCCATTGATACCCAGGCCTAAACTTCATCTTTTCATTATCTTCTCTCATTTCTATATAGTAAGGTATTTCAACTCAAGGATTACTTTCATAGATCTTACATTTCTGTATAAAAATGAGCATGAATTATTTATTCATTTGTATTTGAATACTGTAGATTAGAAACTATTCTCTTTTTGTTTGGGAGTGTACAAATATTTTCCAATATCACCAGCAAAATAAAATGTACAAATCTCATCACGTCAGTTATTAGAGAACATTATTTGTTCGAGGAATCTTCTTGGGAGCAAAAGTGTTATAAAAACACTATAATGAATGAAACAGTAAAATAAAAAGCCTTCAAAATTTAAACTGACCAACTGAAACTCAACTCTTTCATAAAGACATAAAAATATTGACTTTTTCTTTAAAGTTAGTGAAGTTCATAAATGAAATTCTTTATTACATTTCAAAGCCTACATTTTGAAATGTTTTAAGTTTTTCAACTATATTTTTGCATAAATAAAGCAGAAGTAACACACACGCACACACACAAATATCAAAACAATTAAAGATGAGGTTACAAAAGAAACACAGATATTAAAAATTGAATCATGTTCTATGATTGCTAAATATATTTTGAGCCTACATATAGCTTAAGGAACAGTTGTTCTTGAGTTTTGAATGCATCTTTAAACATACCTTGCCGAGAAGGAAGTTGAAGGTTTTCATCAAGCTGAGCTTTTACAAATGCTGGAAACCTATCTTTTGTTTTCTCAAGGGTAATTGCTAAAAACCACAGATCTGGAAGTATACTCTGAAATTAAGATACTGGTATCAAAAAAAAATTATTACTTCTCTTCTTAGCTTGAATAAATGAATTAAGTAAAATTAAATATAAATGTTCTGATAACACTCTTCAGACAAAACATTAATAATTTAAATTTATTGATAATACAAATAACTTTTAAAGAAAGGATGAGATAATGTATTTGTATTTTTGTTTCATGCTCAAAGCTTTTAATACTACCAATCTTGATAATCATACTGATCAATTAATGTTTCTATCCTTAAAAAATAGAATTAAAAGGTCTACTTTATAAACAATGAAATAGCTATGTGTAACAAAATGTTTTTTTTTCTTTTTACTGTATATGGTTGTTACTCTATGAATATATTGCAAGTCCTGTACTGATATCTGATTTAAATGGTAAAACTAGAAGAAAATTGCAGCAGCTATAAAAATCAACTATTACGTATAATTATAAAGTTTAGAGATGATTTGAATTGGTAGTGAAGGAAACCTTATTATAAATGTACAAGGTTTTGACAAGCTTATGTCTTATTACATACAGTTTTATCATACATTAAAGATGTGTATCTATCCACTACAACTTATAGTTCTAGGTGTAATACAATAGTGTCTTATGGCAAGGAATGGGTTAATGGGAGCTAAACATGGTTAATAAATAATGTACTATTCCCTACTTTTTCTTATTACTTTGTTTTTATATTTACTCGAAGATGCATAACATTAACAATCTCTCTGGGTCTGATATAGTAGTGTCTTATGGAACAGAATGGGTCAATGGGAGTTAATTTTAGCTTGATTTTGAAAAATAATGTGCTATTCTCACATGTTTGTTATTACTTACATTATTTTCATATAAATTCAAGATGTAACACTGTTCTGTGTGGGATACAGTAATCTATGCTGTAGTGAACATCATACAGTATGGAAGTTGGAACAAGTTATTAGGACTAGGAGTGAATTCTAACCTCGTTTTGGCAAATAATGTAATGTTTCCACTTTAGCATTTTTATTGATTTACACAGTTTTAGTAACAGCAGATTTATAATAATAGTAAAAGTTAAAATATCTAACACAATACTTGCTAACGCTATTACTAGTATTACTGTTAGTACAAACAATACAATTACAATATGAAAGTTATGGTTCTTTCGCAGCAGCCATAAAGTATATATTTTTGTCTCTTGAGCTCTCAAAAGGTTGGTCACAGCTGATAATGATATCCTATTCTTAGGCTATACTATATATAGATATTTTGCTAATCCTTGGCTGGTGTTCAGCACCTACCTGCAATATATATACACTTTTCCCTTGTGAAAACTGTTTCTTGATTTCACGCCATAAAGATGGGTCTTCTTCGAGCCTTTTCAATAACAAGAATTCATAGCAATGAAATATTAAGCTCATTATCATCTTAACAAAGCTTTTTATCATGAAATAGCTGTCTTACGGTTTACTACAATAGTATAAAACAATCACAACATAAATTAAATATAATATCAAGAGCTGACATCTTGAATATTTACGACGAAGTTTCCAGTATTAGTACTGTTTGTGTATACTGTAGCTAGATTCATTAAAACTAAAGCGATATTTTATACTTTTCCTTTTAGTTTTAACACCGGAGACACCTTCTGAGTCAATAACACAACAACCTCCATGCAACATGTGTTAAACTTTGGTCCGATTTGTAATATATAAAAAACAGACTACACTCAAGTCTACGCATGTCGAGCATTCCATATGAGGATTTAGGTCACGTGAATATTGATGTCAGTAACACGGCTCCTTCTGATATCATCGGCTCGCAGAGTATAATTTTTTGACTTTCAGATCACATTACCAAAGATAAATCCTTATGACAATAGTGTAAAATATTCGAAATTGGATGACAAATTTATTGGCATTTTTTTACCTAATTTTTTTTCTATAAATGTTCATTTTTATTATTGTGTAAGGATAACCATTAACAATATATTCTAATTTGGAGACTGTTAATTATTGGTTATATATCTTACATGCTTGTAACGGTGGCTTAGCGATAGGTAGAGCATTGAAATTTTTTTGAATATTAGAACTGAGGGGAAAATATTCTCAAACTCAGAAAAAGTTCCAATAAGATACTTTTTTTTTATCCGACAACCCTTTGACACCCAAACGCCATAGGATTGTGGTATCACTTGTATATGTTTTCTCGAGCAAAGAACTCTCTGTCTTTATGTTTACAAAATCTAGTATGAAATTTGCCTTTATCGAAGTTTAAACCTTGACCTTTGTCTCACACAAATATAGTGTTACGACAGCGTAAGTCACGTGACCCTGGTAACACGTGATGAGTTTCTAGAAGGATCATGAAGGCCCGAGTGTATTCGAGACGCCCTCTTTTTTAATATATAAGCCTGGCGAGTAAAACTAGCACGATAGGCAG